TAAAAAAATAATTCCTGCTCATGTTACATTATCAGTTATATCTCAGTAAAGCTGAGGGGAAAATAAATCCTGTTCATAAGATTATGGAATTAATTAAATGTGTGTAGAATTTCTTTGTAAAATACCATCCAAGTGGCATGTTTCTGTTTCATCCAGAAGTAATAATCTTTCATTGAATGTTTATTAAATAGAGAGTACCTACCATGGGCCAGGACTTGTACGAAGTATAAAAAATATATATAATCAGATGTGGTAGTTCTGCCAAGTATGGGAGACAGACTCGATGAGCAGTATTTGCATTGTACTCTAGGAGTTACAACAGAGCTACTAAAATCTGAAGACTAGGAGAGGCCTCAAAATTTTACAGTTTATGAGTTAACAACTCTGTGGGTCCACTTATATGTAGATTCTTTCCCCAGCAAATACCTGTGCCATATTTAATCCACCTTTGGGAGTCCAGAGGTGTGGAGGACTGACTGGATGCATTGTTCTGTACCATTTCATGGGCGGGGCTTGAGCATCCATGGATTTGGGTATCCGTGGAGGCCCTGGGAGCAGTCTCCCTCCGACACTGAGGGTGTTTGAGTTTGGGGGAGTCAGAAGTTATGCTTGGGTTTTCGACCGTGTGGTGTGCAGGCACCCCCACTACATGCTGTTCGAGAGTCAACTGAATATTAAAGGAAGGTATATGGATTCTTTTTAGGGTAACTTAGGTTTCTTCTATTCATTTAACCCAAGAGGAATGAAAAACGTAAGGGGCGCATTTAGCCATGGCGACTGCAGGTGGATTTCTGCTGAGACGGCCCCTCAGCAGATGTGGCCCTGACCACATCTGTTCGCAGCGTCAGTAAGTTACAGCAGCAGGCACGAGAGGAGCACGGCGAGAAGTCTAGAACTGTAATCATCATGGCGTAACCATTGCATGTCAGGTGGCTGTGTTAATTCTTTGTCCTCAAAGTTGGTTCAGCATAAGTAATTCTACTGGTTTTTCTTAATAAATGATATGTTACAGCCAGTCTTCATTGTTAAAGCTAACTTGCTGTTAGTCTGTTTCAGTAGTTTCTACTCTCAGAACACCTAGCTACCCTAAACACTTCCAGTTTCTCAAAATATAATGCATGCCAGCCCTGTCTGCAACGCTTTACCTATGTTACCTCACTGAATCCTCACAACTCTGTAACGTGGGAACCGATTTCCCCATTCCAGACTTGAGACAACTGAGACAGAGTGAGGTTTACTAATAGTCCAGGTTTATATTGTTAAGAAGTGGCAGAGCTGGGATCAGAACCCAGGCAGTGACTTCAGAGCCTCCACCCTTCGCTCTGCCTGCCCAGGTAAAGTCGGCAGTGACTGCAGGACACTTCTTGTCTGGAGAGGGTCAGGTATGGTGGTCCTTCGCCTGATTGAAGTAGGCCACACCTCTGTGAGTTTTGAATTATGAGTTCCCCTGTTTAGAACACAGTGAGGAGAACTTAAACGTTACTATATGATTCCTTTACATATGAAAATATGTATATTCTGCCACAGTCCCAGTCTTGGCTTTGCCATGGACTAGTGTGTGAGTTTAGACAAGTTTTTTTAACCTGAGTTTTGGGTGTTTCCAGTGTAAAAGGAAAGGATTAGACCCAACAAGTCTCCATATTTCCTACTAGCTCAGTAACTTTTCTAATTCTGTACTCTGCTAGAATTAACAGTTGACATCACCATTTTTGTCAGTTATCTGGAACCAGTTGTTCCAAATGAAAAAAGAAAGAAAGTATGGATAATAAATGTTCTTCTCTTTTGCTGGGCTCTTTATTATTTGAAATGCTAAAAAAAAAATTATACCAAGCAAGGTACCAGCTTTTGCCATCTTAAAGTGTGTGTGTTGCCTGCTTAGTTCTAAGGGCCAGGAATATTCCCTGAAGGTCTGTGCTGGTCCCAAGCACAATGGAGCACTCAAGACCAAGCACCGAAAATATCTCATGCAATGCTTTCTCCACACACTGATTGGGACAGGTAATTACTGTGGCAACAGCAAACTAATTCAAAGTGTTAGCTGTTAATTAAAAGAATGCAAAGGTGTATAGTTGTCTTTTGGTGTAACCAGAGCCTCCATTCAAACTTCATTAATCACTTTACAGTTAATGTGTTGCAGAAGGTCAAGACTATTGAGATGCAGTATCCGTCGAAAATTAACAAATTCCTTTTCTCCAGACAGAATGCCATTTGCAAAGTTAAGAGGCACACTCCACTCATACCTGGTATTGCCTTTGTCATCCACTTCTCCTTGATGATTAAATGTTAAATCGGTACTGTCATTGCACTGTAAACCAAACCACACAGCATCTTTGTTGCTCGAAATCGAACCCAAAATTCCATGGATGAATTAGCGTGCATCATAATTAAATCATCAAGCCTCCCCTTGTATTTCACTTGGAAATAAGAGACCTTTCTTTTGGAAAAGAGATCAGCTTTCTTGACAAGCTAATTAAGTTACCAAACTGTTGAGTATGGGGTATAAATATTAGACTGTCTGCTGGTCATTCACTTATCGCTGCTGTTGGTCTCAAAAGTCCAGGTTGTTGTCCAAAGTAGCAGTACTGTTCTTTTATAAGTTTTGAGTCCTTGTGTCTGCATTCAGCTGTTGGTCTTCACATTTGCGTCTGTGGTTAGTGATTCTAATACAGAGTGTTTTTAACAGTTGAAATCGGAGGATTCTGTGGTATGCAAGAGGAAAAATAATATATCATTATTAAATTTTACATATTACCTATATTTACATGGAATAAAGTTGCTAAATTTCTTCAAATCACATTTCAAATTAGCTTAGTCCAACAACTTCTCTGCCAGGCACTGAGGAAAATACAGCATATGTCTTTATATATCACTTTATTAACCTGAATCCAGATACATAATGAATCAAATCATAATGTGGTTTCATGTTGTAAATCTGATGTTAACGTTAGATAGTGAAGTAAGTGGTAATGTATTCTAAACCCTTTATAATATAGGGGTTCTACTTATAAAACATCACTTCTTATAAAGTATAAAAAATTTTAAATAACTTAAGTTTTATAAACTTAATAGTATTTATATATACTAGGGAAGTTGATATTTAGAGAAAGTCTGTAGATTCTTTTACAGATTAAAGAACTCTGGTAAAGTGAACAGTTGCCAAATTTTATAATCTTGCTTTTCCTCTAAATGAGATATAATTTCTCTATAATTGATAAAATAAAGGTTAAGTTTACTTTCCAAAATTGGCTCAACCTTTGTCCACTCAAGAAGGAAAAGCAGAATGAATTTTTTATAACACTCATATATAGATACTTACATACATTTACATGTTTTTCCTAGTCTTACCTGAATTTGTAACGTTATTATATGTGAAAAGTTATAACTCCTTATAGGTTCTTAATAACAAAATTACCTCCATAAGTCTGTCACTTTAAAAATACTTGTCAGCAATTGCACAGTTCTGTGAATTTACTAAAAATCATTGAATTATACACTTAAAACAAGTGAACTTCATCATATATAATTATATCTCAGTAAAGCTATTTAAAAATTTTGTTAGAATAACCACACAAATACTTCTGCCAGAACAACAGAAAATGTTTTCATTTGGTAATAATGGAATGCATATATATATATATATATATATATATTTGTAATCACGTATGGTGATGGTTGTTAACTAGACATATTGGGGTGAGTCATTTGCAATATACATATATAAATATCAAATCATTGTTATATACCCGAAATTAAGATAATGTTACATGTCAAAAGTCCAAAAAATGATAGCTCCAAAAAATAATAAAATAAATGAGCAATTTTTACTACTAAGTTAAATTTACTGCTTAGTAGTAGAAATTGGAAACCTGGTAAAATTTTGTAACTTGGCATCTGAGGACGGGGAATTCCTGGCAAGCTGAATTGCATTCCTCCCCACGTTCCCTGCCCCTCACCACTTAACACCAGCCAGGGGAGAGGAAGAACAATCAGCTCTCGGTTAACGTGCAGAATCCTCCGTGGAGTGAGACTTGAATTCTTCCAAAATAATTTGTTTCTTCATACTCTCATGGACGTGCAGTAACAGTGCCTGTTTGTGTTGCGTGCTTCATTCAGAATTTTTTATATGAGGCAGATTATTTCTGGATAATGGTCAGAATGGGTGGTCTTTACAGTACATGTAGGAAAGGCCACACATCTCATTGAAACACAAAAGGTCTTGATGAAATAATGGTATTTACTTCTGCAAACCTTATTCTCTGTTTTATGAATGAATCTATTCATACTTCTTGACTTAAATTGTAGTTATTTCACTATATCTCATCACTTGAACTTTTCTCTCTTCTGAAGCTTTTTTAATATTAAGAGATGCCAGTTTTAGGAAAGGATGAACCACATATTTGAATCTTACAAACCTGTGATTTCTTATATGAATTTATATCTTAAGTTATAGCTAACTTCATATTATTTTGATGAAATGTGGGAATATAGTTGATGTGTATGTATAATTGAAATAAACAAAAGGAAAGCCTCCCATTTTGTATGGCTTTGTCTAGTGCTTAGCATAGGGCTAGAGAAGACCTCTGCACACACTCACACACTGACACGCTCCCCCACTCCCACGCTCTCAGTGGCACAGACAGTGTGTTGTAAAGGAAATAGAGCCAGAAGACCTGGATTTGAAGTATAGTTCTGCCACTTACTGACTTTGTGCCATTAGGCAAACTACTTAACTTTTCTATGCTTCAAAGTTCTCATCCATAAAAGGAGAATGATAATGCCACTATTACCTTAGAGGGTTATTTTAAGGTAATGTGTAATGAATCACTTTATAAACCATTAAGTTCAATAGAAATGTAAATTACTGATGTTATTAGTATTCTTTGGCAGTGTCACATATCCCACTGCTACAGATGTGTTCAGATTTACACTTATGTTCTTAACCATCGTCTAGGTTGTTTAGTGATCTCAAGTAATTTTGTTATTGTTCTTTCTTCCCATAGAGCATATCATGTCCCAAGTGGGAAAATACTAGCTGTAAAGGTAAGTGGTGTGTAAATTCCATGAAATTCATGACATTCTTGATGCTTCTACACCCCCTCCCACTTCTCTACATTTAGCTTGAGTCACAGGCAGTCATGAAAAGGAAATGAAAGTTTCAGGTTTGGTGGAAGCTGTGGCACTGCTGTAACATTCAAGCTCCTGAAGATGTTTTAAGTAGCAACTTAGTGTGGCGAGTCTTCTCATCACTGTTGCCTCCACTTCTTACTCGGTTTCCTGCTAAGTGGCATCACTGTCTTCCTCGTCTTGCAGCTCAGAACCTTAGTAGTTATTCACTCCTTTTTTTCCTTATATCTCTGACATCTTGTAAATTACCATAACCTGTAGGAAATTTTCCCTGAAATGCGTCCATTTGTCACTTTCTTTCTGTTCTCGTCCTCATTGCCTGGGCCCTGTATCAGGCTCATCTACCCCATACCTGGACTTTTTATAACAGTTTCATCATTGTACTTTGATCTTTTTCTTCTCCTGTGCCTCTTTACTCTGCCACCAGAGTTGAGAAATTGAATCACAGGTCTGACCACGTCACCATCTTGGCACCCACCCCCATCCCTCATCAAGTACATTGTAAAACCTAAGATGTCTGACCCTTTACCGGATTCCGAAATAGCCCAGCACCGCACCCACCAGCTGTCGAGCTGTACACAGCTCATGGATGTTCTGGGCAGTTACCTAAGATGCTCCTCACCTGCTACCTCGTTTATGCCTCATCCCCGCCAGGCTCCAGCATCCCGGTCCTGCCCTGCCACTCGCGGCTTAATATCTCTGGCATTGGCTGTTGGAGCTTCATCTTCCCCTCATTTTATCCGAGATTTTCCCAATGGGCTCTCTTGAACTGTACCTCTGACTGAACCCTGGGCTTCCTCAGGTTCCACAGAACCCCACTTCTGACCCTCTAACCCTGGGTTCTTAGCTAATGGACTGGTTAAGCCTGCTTTGTGCCTCACCCCCGGAACGGGTCAGGTCCTCTTCAGATCAGCCCCTTCCTACTTTACAGCCACACCCTCTGCATTACCTGTCTGTGACCTTTTGTCACGCCCTGTATCTCTAGTCTCTAGACGCTTAATAATGAAAGCTGTTATTTTTTGTGTGACTACTGTATGCCAGTTACTATGCTAGATGTCATATAACTATTATCTTTAATCCTTAAAAGCTGCAAAGTAAGCCTGTGCATTTTAGATTTGAGAGAACTGACACTCAGAAAGCTGAATTGTTCAAGATAACACAGTTGAAACAGCCAGGGCCAGGATTTAAAACAAAATCCATTTGACTCCAAAGTGTATGTCCTCTGCCTCACCAGGAAGCCTTTATACAAGTATTACCATTGCTCCTCTTTCTGATTTCCGTCTATCCTTTCACGGTTCATCTCCTCCATGATGCTTTCTTAGCTATTCCCAGTGAGAGTTCAGTCTCTTTCCCTTACACTTATGTAGTATATATTTCTGCATCTTTTATCTAGAAACTAGGAATCTGAACAATTAAATTGCAGTTGATTATACCTTTGATAAGGTTAAACCAAAGCAAAGACTCAGTGTAATTGAGTTCTTTTTCCATAGTACACCTGATACAACACCTGTAATGTGTTATGTGACAATATAAAGTCCAGTTTTAATAACTCAAGTAGCTTTAGGTGAGGAGATACAACAGCGCTCTCTCTTGGGATATTTTCTTTGGTATTCCAACCAAGTAGGCTCACAGAATTCTAGAACTGAAAGAGATCTCAGAGATCATCTGTGGAAGCCCCACATTTCACAGAGGAGGAACCCGAGGTTCAGAGAGTGCCCAGGGTAGGTATGGTGGAGCCCGTCTCCGTCACAGCCTTCCCGAGCTCACTGAGTGCAGCTCTGATGCACCACCCGGGCACCCGGTTCTTTTCCGTACCTACTGAGCCTGTCTCCACTCCGAGGACACCTCCAGCACTCGGGCAGTGTTTTCCTTCCAGTCGAGCTGGTTGTCCTTTAATGTCAGAACTCTTAGATCGTTGCCATCGATATGTTTAAAGACAGTCAACTCTAGGTAGTAAACCCCAAGAGAGCAGAGCACTGCTTTAAATCAGCCACAAAAAGCTCATTTGACTTTTGCATGTACATTATAATTATTCATAATTTCATACATTTCGAATTACATGTAACCTAGGCTAACATTAAAATTCTTGTGCATGACTGTTTATATGGGTATGGCAAAGGTGTTACAGTTGTTTCTGGAAAGGATTAAAAGCAGTTGTAAAGAGGACACATTTTAAAAGAAGTGTTAAAGGAGAGATTTTCAATCAATAAAAACAGCAGTGGTTTACAAATACACAACTCATTAGACCCAACAAGGACCGTATTGTATTCACTGTGTATCTCTAAATTTTACAACGTGCTAGATGGTCAAACTGAGCTGAGTGAAGGAATGATTTAAGAGTAGATGCGACTATTCTGTTTACTCTTTCTTGCTTATACCTGAGCTTTTGGCAGTGAAGGCAAAAAACATGATGCGTATATAATAGTCATAATCTAGAAAAAATAAATGTGTCATTACTTCAAAACTGGCAGAGTTTTTCATTAGATTTTAGAAGTGGTTAGTTCCCAAATATGTGGGGATTTTCCAGGTAGCTTTGTTATTGATCTCTAATTTAAATCAGTTGTGGTCAGAGAATATACTTTGTATAACTGGAATTATTTTAACTTTATTGAGATTTTTATGGCCCAGAATATGAATTATTTTGGTGTTTCCTGTGGATATGAAAAGAATGTGTAGTCCGTTATAAAGTGTATTGTATAAATGTTAGATCAAGTTGTCTGATAGTGTTGTTTAAAATTATCTTCACTGAGTTTTATCAACGTGTCTATCAATTATTGAAAGGGGGGGGGTCAAAATCTCCAGCAGTAGTTGTGGATTTGTCTGTTTATTCCTTACAGTTTTATCATTGGTTTACTTAATATGTTTTGAAGGTCTGTTAGATACGTTTAGGATTGTTATGTCCTCTGGATGAATCAGTTCCTTTACTATTATGAAGTGACCTTTTTTATCCATAGTATTATTCTTGGCTGTAAAATCTACACTTTCTGATATTAGTATAGCTACTCCAGCTTTGACTGCTGTTAGCATGATATGCTTTTACTTTTAACCTGCTGAGTCTTTATATTTGACATGGATTTCTTGTAGGCGGCTATAGCTGGGCCTTGTATTTTAATCTAGTCTGATAATCTCCACTTTTATTTGGGGCAATTAGATTATTTGCATTTCACATGATTATTGATAAGATGAGATTTGAACCTATCATCCTTCCTCTTTGTTTTCTGTTTGTTCTGTCCTTTTTTTTTTAGCAGTTGCCTTAGAGTTACTTTAACTTACTGTGGTATACATTCAAGTACTATTGTACCACTTTATAACATGAGAACTTCACATAATATGCTTTACATAGTGGATGTTGTTTTTCTCATCCTGGCCTTCGTAATTAGATTTTACATACTCGTGTTATAAAACCCAAAACACATTGTTGCTGGTTTTGCTTTGTATTTTAAAGACATTGAAAAGGGAAGGAAATATTTATATTTACTCACATTTTCACCAGTTCCAGTGCTCTTCATTTCTTTGTATAGATCCAGATTTTCATCTGGTATAATTTCCTTTCTGTCTGAAGACCCTCCTTTTTTACCTTTCTTTTGTTTTTTTAAGTGTTGATCTGATTTATTACTTGACTGGAAAACTAGACACTCCACCAGTTCAGGGAGATGTGTAGGTTTGATCCTCCTTGTCATCACTGGCTCCAACCCTACCCTGGGCCTTCTTGGCATTGGCCACCTCCATATGGCAACAGGAGGGAGAAGTCGAAGTGCTTCAGGGAGTCCAGGCAGACAGTGAAGCACAGGATGTTTATTTACCACCTGCTCACAGACCTGGGTGTGGAGGTAGTGAGTCAGCACCTGGATGTGGTAGATGGACTTGGCTGACTAAGCCCAGCTTGAATACCAGGGTCTGTAGGTGCCTCTTGGAGAAATCCTTGATCTTCAGGCCCAGAATATTATTTGGCTTCACACTGGCCTCGTCCAGCTCCCCATGTGGACCAGGCACCCCAAGAGGGCACTGCCTTCAAACAGATGCTGTGGGGCTTTCTCACCCAGCGTCCCTGAGCAGCCCCTGGACAGCCTTGCAGACGTAGGCCAGGGTAATTTGACCTTCCAGACCTCCCGTTTGTTCCAAAGCCCATACTGGCCCATCAGCTTCAGCTCTTGTTTGAGGTGGCGTTTCCTGAAGAGTCTCTGCAGGGTCACATAGATTTTGCAGCAAACCCGTCTCTGGGCCCCCAGCATGTTGGCTGCCTTGTAACTGAGGAAGAGCTCTTTTACATTTCTTATAATGCACAAGTCTTCTGGCAGTAAATCCTTTCTGCTTTTTCATATCTGCAGAGTGTATACTTGACTTTCATTTTGGAAGACATTATTGCTAGAGAGAGAATTCTAGGTTGACTGCTCTTTCAGTATTTTAAGGGTACTATTTTATTGTCTTTTGGCTTGCATTCTTTCCATTGAAAAGCTTACTGTCATTTATAAGCTTTATTCCTTTCCCTGGCCAGGTGGCTAAGTTGGTTGGAACATCATCCTGTATACCAGAAAAGGTTACAGGTTAGATTCCTAGTCAGGGCACATACCCAGATGGCAGGTTTGACCCCCAGTCAGGGTCCGTACAGGAGGCAACTGATGGGTGTTTCTCTCTCTCTCTCTCTCTCTCTCTCTCAAATCAATTAACATATCTTTGAGTGAGGATTAAAAAGTAATAATAATATAATAAAATCTTTATCCCTCTGTACATCAGAACTGACCTCTCTGGCTCATTTTAGGATTGATTATGATGAGTTTTTATGTAATTTCCTTGATAATTTATGTACTTAGGGTTTGTTGAGATTGTTGGGTCTGTGTATTTTTAGCTTGCATTAAGTATGTACAAATTTTAGCCATTATTTCTTCACATTTTCCCCCGACTTTGGGATGGAAATT